AAGTAAGGATCAGGAGCTAAAAGGGTACATTTTAGGCTACAAGTTCCCCCACAGGCTCCAACAAGGTTAGCGCCTATGGCCACACCTGTCCTAAAATGAGTGACAGTGGGTATGGAAGGAAACTATGCCCTGAGTTCTGAGGCTTAAAGATCCTGTCCTTAATGTCTTCCTAATGAATACTTGATACCTCCCCATGGGAAACTCCTCTACCACCTGGCTAAGGCATTCAGAGATCCCACCACTGGACCTTGATACTCCTCACAATGTAGAGCCCTTTGTGAGGATAGAAAATCCATTGCTGTGTAGGAAACCCTGTGTGGTGCAGACAGCGTGGCCGCTAAAGGCCACATCCAACTGTGCCCCAATGAATCAGTGAATGGCCCTGTTAACAGGGCCCCTACCTTGGTCTATCTCCCTTTGATCCTACAGTTCTGGGTTGTTGGAACACAAAATATCTGTGTGCATAAAACAACTTATAGGAACCATGGAGCAAGGTTGGGATGTGGGGAAGCAGTAAGAATAGAATCTAGAAAGGAAGCACAGGGTGTGAGGACACAGAATGGAACAGGAATGAGGCATTCCTGAGATTGGTCTGCCACTGACCAGCACAGAAAGCAGGAAACTATGGGGGCCAAGAGGCTGGACCTGGCCCCAACCAACAGTCCCAGTTGGACAGAGGCTTCATTCCACACCTGGAGAAGCCAACTTTAGGGCAATGGTGGGCAGAAACATGCAGACAACACCCAGATCTTGTGTTGACATGGCAGGGGCCAGCCCAGGAAGAGTGTCTGCTCTGCTCTCACTCTTTCCCTTCCTCTGGGACAATGTCCTTATGGGAACGCAGTCGTTACTGGTCAGGATCATTCCCAAAATAGTAGGCCCAGATGTAGGGTGGTCGAGGGCTTATAAAAGCAGGAAGCACAAAGGCAGAATGGATTGCAAACTGGGGACTGGTTTATACACCTTGTAAGAAGAGCGACTGGAATGGGAACTGAAACTATTACCTGGGCAATTGATACCCTCACATATAGTGGGTGGAGAGGCCATTTCCTGTAACATCAGCTCCCACACAGAAAACCAGAATTCTGAGGGAGAAGGTAAAATGGTAAGATTCCTTTATTAAATAGATAGGATAAGCTCCTCTGTGTCCCCCTCTCCAGTTTAGAAGAGGAAGAGCTCAGGCAGGAGAACTTGATACATGAGTTGTATTTGTGTGAACTTCAGTTTCCTTATTGTTGTGTTGGTTGGTTGGTTTTCAGTATGAGGCATCAGACTCATGCGTGACTGCTCCTGGGTGTGTGGGACTTAGAAGTGTCAAGAGGCTGCCCTGGCATCACACCGCAAATCTTGCCAGTGTCCCAGCCCTTCCTTACTCCAGAGACAACAGAAAAAAGCAAAAGGGGCGTCACACTAGGTGTGGACACACAGGAAGTTCGAAGTGACCTGGACAAATGGCCAGGGACAGAGGCCAGCCCAGGAAGAGTGTCTGCTCTGTTCTCATTCTGCTTGTAGCATGGGTTTCCCTTCCTCTGAACAGTGTCCTTATGGGAAAGCAGAGGGACTCGAAAGGCAAGGAGATGAGCAACCATTTCTCCAGAGAGCATTTTCTGTCCTGCATGACACACAGCCACAGCTCCAACAG